GTTTATCATTATTATTATTATTTTATTTTATTAACCGAAGCCGTTTATCATTATGTCGGTGTTTTCATTGTCTTGCTGATGTCTGTCGAAAGTTATAGTTTTTGTCTTGACGATTTTAATCTCTAGACTCATCTTGATACTTTCTTCTGTCAGTTTGGCCATTAGGGTTTGCAGCTGGTCTTCAGATGCTGCTAATACCATGGCGCGTTTTATGTATCTATATATTTTTTATAATTTTCCCATTTATTTTAGCCCCTTCTGGACAATTTTGAAGATATTTTCGGATTATATACTCGGCATAAACGTTAAACAGTAATGGTGACAATATGCATCCCCGTTTAACACCTCTTTTTATGTCTACGTATCTTGTATTTTCTTTTTCTGTTCTGACACATCCTTTGTGATTCACTGAAATCACAAAGATTGTAATTGAACTCACATTGACTGAAAGCATATACTGATGTGTTCCTTATAATGATAATATCTCTCTCATCCAAGCCTACCTCAGTGAGAACTCAGTAATTTTTCGTGCTGTATTCGATCGAAGGCTTTTTGTAGTCAACGTAACATACAAACAGCTTTCTTTGGACTTCCATATACCTCTCTGCGATTAATGTTAAACTCAGGGCGGCTTCTCTTATTCCAGTCCACCTTCTAAAACTGTATTGTGATCTAGTAAGAAAATTATTACATTTGCTGTATGCTCTATTGAATATTATTCGCATAAAGATTTTCGCTGCGTGGCTCATCAGACATGTTGTTCTGTGGTCTTCGCATTTCTTCGCTTTATTCTTTTTGGGTAAGACTATGAAGGTAGATGTTATCCAGTCTTCGGGGATTGTTCCGGTTTCATATATACTTTATTGAAAAATTGGGTAAGTATTTTGATGGCATTATCGCTTATGTATAAGTAATGAATAATGAGTGTGAATAAGTAGACGATTGTAACATTGTTTCAGTTCAGTTTTTTTATAATATTATTTAGTAATGTATGTTAAATAAAGTGGTAAATTTTAAATAAATAATGCCTATAAGTACCTAAGTGAACTACCGAAGAACCTGCAGTAAGACAAGAAGATTTATGATTGTTTATATGCGTAGTGTGTTGGGTAAATAACATAATTTATTGATAGTCAAGTATTACGTTATTTTTAATATGTATTTTAAAGCATTTTAATAAATCGTATAAAATATGTGTGTAGGTACTGGTAAATAATAAAATACAATTTATTAGCTTCTAGATAAATAGGATTAAATTAATCCAAACCAATTTAGATATTTTTTCCATTCACATATTAATCAAATTAAGTGCGATTATTATTTAAACAAGTACCAGTTTAGAACCAACCGTAAACTGGTACTATTTTGTACCAATTTTAGTTTTGTTACAAATACAGGGCGAGCCTTAAATATGATTTAACACTCTAGTAGATAGATAAAAGAAACATATTTTTTCTTCACCATTTTAGTCCAAAATAACCGAGTTATTTTAATTTGAAATTAAAGAAATAAAATATTTTTTGTCTGTTTTGAGAAAGACTGGGTATTTTCTGGGTTTCCTTATTTGTAAATTTAATCTACTACCTATGTTAAGTTATACTATCAAGATATTATGTTTTTTTTAACAAAATTTAAAAAATCCAAAAAAAAAAAAGTTTTTTCAAAAAAATATTCAACAAAAATACCTTTAAGTAGAAAACCCCATAGACGTGTTTGGGATCAAATAGAATTCTATTTAAGACTCACCCTGTATAGCATAGATGACAGGCTGTCCCAAATTCGAGCTTTATCATTGAGGTCTTGAAAACAAAAGGAGATAAAAAATAAGCTCAATGGAGGCAAAGTTGCGAAGATTTTTGGCAAAATTTGAATAGATTTTTGATCGGATCTTACAAGGGAACAAATTAATGAAATTTCAAATAACTGCGATACTTACATCATCGGTTTTTTGGACCTTAAAGCTCTTAAAATCTCTAATAAAGTAAAGATACGCTGATATCACCATCTTGTTGAATAAAAAAGCAGTTGTTATTATAATATATATAAAAAAATTTCAAATGAAATCCTTATTTATTCGTTTTCAAAATATATTTGAGTAGGTATTCAAGGCTTTTAAACTTTGAAGGTTGCATTTTTCTCAACACTCTCAAATTTTTTTACTTTACCCTATTATTAACCAAGCTCGTATCTCTTCTAGTTCCCGAAGTCTCAATGAACGGTTGGGTTTACCACTAATTCTGCACTTATATCCTAAGTAACGACTAGATACAGGGTGGCCTCATTAGTGTGAGGAAGTCCAATATCGTCGTAGTTGTCGAAGATATTTACGAAAGAAAGTTTTATACAGATGTTACATAGTTTATAAAGGGGAATATACTAAAAAGAGTTTTATGGTATACAGGTTGTATATATTGGCCTGATATCCCTATATATCCACCTAGGTGTGTTAGAAAAACCCGTTTTTATATTACAAAATATTGATAAGAGATCGTTACAAAAGAAACAAACAAAATAGAACAGTAGAATTATATTTAAAAACTTATTTGTACAATACTGAATATCAAAAATGTATTGTTTGTAATCTATATGTAAAATATATATATATTATACATACCCCTCGTAGTATGATCAACAAATCTAATTAAAAAATATATTTCAAAATGGCTATTAAATTAATTACTAACTTAGTAACCTTTGTCGTCAAAGAAATTCTAAACTTAAGTTAACAATTTACAAAGAAGAATTATATAGAAATGATGATGTCGCTTAAGCTATTTTTTACGTTTAAATTTTATTCTTTTAGAAACTATTTACTGATTCAATTAATTTAACTAAATATAAGGAGTATATACCAAACAAATGTTTGACTGACAAATGGACTACTCACTGTTACTTTGGTTATACTTCAAAAAAATAAATAAAATTGTTAAAATTTGGTTAAAATATCTGAAATATTTCTTTTAGGTGGCTGAAAATTAATTTATCCTCGGCCACCTCGTAGATAATAGAATTTATAAACAAATAGATAAGTTGAAGAGAAAAAATTGGATTTGGCAAAGATTTGGCAAAGACAATGAGACTTGAGGCTTGGTATCAAAGTAAATTGAAATTTCATCTAAATAAATAAATAAAAAATCCTATGCCATGACGATTTTATCTGTTACATTGTTGATGGTAACAAGCAAGAAATATATGTATTAGAAATTTTTAATATTATACCTAAGGTCCCAAAAGTGGCCAAACCTCCATAAATTTTGTATTTTTAATAAAAAAAAAAACGGATTTGGTATGTTAGTATATGACGTAAGTTAGAATTAATTGACGTATTCAGTTGTTTTTGATCACTCCTTGCTCTTACCGGAAATGACTACAACTTTTGATTTTTAAATGGCACCTTTGGTATATTTCTACTTTATTCTATAGAAAAAAAAATGACAGTCTGAATAGAATGACATATTATATGTCAACTTTGACCTATTTCCTTAAAAGAAATCGTATTTAAATTTCAATATAGAGTGGGAAATAATCATGAGCCTTTTGGAAAATAGAATTGATCGTCCAATGTTTTTTCATGTCTTGTCCTGGCCGGTTAAAAGATGCTGAAGTCTTATTTTTAATAATATCTCACTTTTTTCAAATAAACAAGGGTGGCTCATTAGAGCTAGTAGATGAACTCGCATGTTACAATTTCATATAAACCATATGAAAATGTTGGAAAAGTTGACATATAAAATGTCATTCTATTCAGAGTGTCATTTTCTATCGAATAAAGTAGAAATATACCGAGGGTGCCATTTAAAAATCAAAAGTTATAGTCATTTCCGGTGACTGAGAAGTGACCAAAAACAATTGAATACGTCAAATCAATCCTAATTTATGTCATATACTAGTACCTTACCAAATCTTCTTTTTATCTGAAAATAAAAAAGTTGAGGGGTGAGCCACTTTGAGATACAGCCGGTACAACCTCAAAAAAAAAATAAAGTATCTACAATATAGGCAAAAACACTTTTTTTTTTAATATCAAGATTAAACCAAACCAACCAACTAAAAATTTGAATGAAGGTGAGTCTTAAATGAATTGGGTAAATATTTTAGGGTAGTATATTTGGACCCCAGAACCCCACTCTCGTGTTTTTTTATGATTTTTTTAATTTGGAAATTTTTTGAAAATATTTTTGGAAGTTTTTGATTTTTAAATTAACAAAAACATATTTTTTTGATAATATGGCAACATAGGTAGTAGATTAAATTTACAAGAAAGAACCCAGAAAGATTCAGTGGTTCTCAAAATTTAAGCAACTAATTTTTTTTGAAACCTTCAAAGTAAAATAACTTGATTATTTTGGACTTATTTGAAAAAACGGTAAAGAGCAAATATGTTTATTTAATCGAGATCTACCAGCCCTGGAAATATTTACACTATTTAAGACTCACCCTGTGTCGTGCTGAATAAATCTTTTTCAATGATTACTAATAATATATACCTCAACAAAACAAAAAAGTTTAAAAGTTTTACAAAGAAATAAATCACTACTAGAGAAATGCTCAAAATTCTAAGCTCTAAACGAAGCGAAACCAACTAAAAATTTTACTAGATGGAAACTGATAAACATAATAGAGAACTAAAAGAATATATTTCTTTAATAAAATATTATGAGACATAAAACACTACTAGAGAATTAAACGCGCAAAATTCCAAGTTCTACCAAGTCCAAATCGACCGTCTAACACCTCACTATCAACGTTCCAAACTGTTTCTATTTCGACCACCTCGCCGATAACAGAATCCATGAAATGGAACGAATGGAACTAGAAGAGAAAAAAATTGGAGTAGGCGAAGAGTACCCGAGGCTGGTGAACTAGCGGCGATCGGCGGCGAATGGCAGCGCGAACCCGTTTTTTGTCGATCGCATACGTATAGCATGATCGTGTGCAACCCATTTTTTTCCTTCTACCTCTACAACGCCGTAGCGGTAGGCTATGGTTTCCGAAACCGAATCTGCATCCCCCAGAACGCGGAAAGTTTTGTATATAAGCTGCCCGGCCACCTCACCAAAGCATCACTTCTTGCAGTTTGGTCGGTTCATCCACTAGTATTAAACAATTCGAATAATCGCCATGAAAGTCTTGGTGAGTTGAGTCTCTTAATATCCGTATTGTTGTTTTACATATAAATTCTCTAAATTTGTGCGAACTTTAACTTTCTTTCAATCGTAGTTTTTATCTAATATTGTGAACGAATTTTGTGACTTTGTTGTGGTTTATCAGAGTGTCCTTTGTTAAATTTTTTTACTATCATATTTCATATTTTTAGATTTCCTATTGTTAATTTAATAACATATTTAATCATATGTTTTAAATACTCATCTTATATCAACGCTTCTTTAAACCCTTAGTACTAGATTTTCTCTATGGAACATTTTCCGGTAGTTAGTATGATTATTCCAATCTTTGAAGTGATTATTCTTAATACTTTTCAGTTCATATCTACTTAGTGTGCTCTATTGTATTCAATATTTAATTATTTATATCTAAAGATTTAATGATAGATATACATGCAAACAAATACATTTCAATAAGGTATAGCATACATCATACAGATTTTAACTTCAAAAATATTAACTTTTAAAACAAAAAAAATTTAAATACATTAACTTCAATCTGTGTATTGTACTCTAATATTGAAAACTCATCTATTATGTATATTCTGGAATATGCTATTATTAACACTCTAAGGACTCTAAATTCTAACTCCATCCTAGATTTGAGATATTTCTGTGATACTTTTTACAGTAAATACAAATATTAATGATATCGAGGTTACATTATTTGAAATTAACTATTTATTTATGAAAAATCTTATAAAGGGTTTTAATTTTTTGTTTGAGAAAACATCACAAGTAGTTTTGAAATTATTAGTTAACCATTATTACACAACTTAAAATTTACTTCAATATTATTATAAAGAAAGAATGAAATTTATATTTTAGGCTTTTATATTTTTTATAAGTGCTTTATTATTCAGCTATCAACTGTCAAGATATTCAATTTGACAATAATATATACTCCGTTTATGAACCCAACTATACGTAATAAATCTACAAGGCATTACAGTAAAAAGTATTTTAAAGTACAAAATAGAGAAAGTTTTTGGATAAAATACCCCTAATTTTGAAAATGTTTTTTGTTACAGGCCGTCGCTATCTTAGCTACTGTAGCTACCCTCAGCTCCGCCTACCCCGGCTACTACGGTGGTGGTGGTGGAGGTGGATACGGTAAGAACAACCTTAAGAATCCCTTAAATCCTTAACAAAATACAACTAATTTAAATCTCCAACTTTTTTCTATCTCAGTATCATCTCAAAAGCATTTAATAAAAATCATCTTCACACTACTTAAATTACCAGAGTATATGTCAATTTTCTTCAAAAATCTATAATTTCAAAATGGAACTAGCTGTTTGAATATTAAGAAGAATGTTCATTACGTTAAGTTAAATCTACCTTATACTAGTTATCGTTGGAAAGAGAAATCAATTTGATCTTATTGTAAGCAATCAAATACAAAATCGTATCAGTTTCAATCAATTTCTCTTTGCTTGTCTACATGCCAAATTGACCGTAATTGCATATCAAGTGAATATATTTGTTTAGAATCATTTTAACGCTCAGGTTATCAGTCACCTGTGTCGATAAAAAACGACATAACTCTCTTCCCTGTCTTAAGCTAAATCAAATAACTACGAGTATATAGTAAAGTGAAACGTGTAGAAAACGGTAGTGTTCTCTGTTTTTTTTTGGTTCTTTATGTATACGATAATTGCATTTTTCATTTTATAGCTATACATTCTTATGCAAACATAAGGCTCTTTATAACATACGCTGTCGTTTCGCAATGCTCCCGTACAGTTTCTGTTCTACTTACTCTCTTAATAGTCATTCCTTAGGTCGATTTTGTCAACACAGTAAAACAACTTTCATATATTCTGTATTATTATTCTGCGTTATTAGATTCAAACGAAAATTTTGCAACCAGTCAATTAATTTAGTTTGAAAGAAGTATTTTTTTCTGTACTAAATTATCTGACTGGAAATCAAGTTAAAATGCTGGTTGTGTTATCCATTTCTTAATAAATTGTATTATTTCTAATTGATATTTTAATAAGATAATAATTAAGTTTCTTTTTGATGCAAAATTATCTTTAAGTAACTTAATGAATATTAAAAGAATTAAATCTACTTCTGCAAACACCTTTGTAATTAACTGCAGATCACTTTATAGTATATTCGAATATTATGCATATTTAATTAATATACTCGACTTTGTTAGTTCAGTGATTAAGAACCTTAACACGCCACGAACTATGATTTCTGTGGATTCTAATGATTATTGTCCTTTATTTTCAGAAGGTGGATGTGAACATGGAGGAGCCGGTGGTGCCGGATGTGGTGGAGGTGGTGGTGGATTCGGAGGTGGATTGGGAGGTGGATTCGCCGGAGGTAGTGTAGGAGGTGGTTTCTACGGAAGTGAAGCCGCTGGCCCAACCTACGTTCAAGTGAGTATACACTTCTTACACCCATCATCACATTCAATCCTTATTATTCTCTTAGATTCTTATTCTTATACTTCATCAGATCTATCTTGCTCCTCTGAACTTCCTGGTTAAATTCTCCCTTTTTACAAAGTTTAATAACTTGGAGACAGAACGTGTCATCATTTTGCACATTTGTCATACTGTGTTCCTCTGATTAGGTAATAGAAAATCCACATGGCTTAGTGTGCTAATTCATTCACCTAATGTGCCTATTGAGCTTGTAAAGCTCTGTTAAGAGACCTTTTTTAAACCCTTAAATTTTACACCCTACAAATTTGGTAGTTTTTCTGCCTTTGCTATTTGGTCTTATGGCCAGCCGTTGTTCTGATGAATTTTTCCACAGTTATTTCACAAATTTTGCCATTATTTCACCATTCTATCTGTCATTTCGGGTTTCATTCAACTTTTTTATATCTGCTACGGAATCAAGTGCTCTTAAGGCTCTATGAAAATGACAACTGGACGGTGTTCTCTCCTGCCTTATTAGTTTTTCTACATAATATCCCGTCATTTACGACTTCATTCTAGCTCTTATGGTTTCTGATTGAGCCATTTATAAACCAAATTATATCGGCTAAAACGATCCTGTTTGCTTGAATAAGGAAGTTTTCTCTGTGCTAAAAATATATTCTTATACAGCAACATAATATTTTTTTAAGTACTAAATTGAAAAATAATTATTTAAAGAATAATAATTATTTCATATGTCAATTGTTTGAGTCACGATACAGTTTACTAAGTTTGTTAACCTTATCTGGTTAGATAATGGTAGAAATGTTCTCAGAGAAGTAATTGTTTTCAGTGTGCGTGCTTTCAGGTTAATTTAAATCGACATGTGCGATTTAATTAAATACCTATTTAAATTACACAACACATCATTGTCGATGTTGTAATGTTAATTATTTACCATTTATTTAATTTAAATACTCATTATCTCACTTGATTTAAGTTAAATAGTTGTACCTTAAAACTTATCTAATTTAAATACTTTAAAAATTTAATAGATCTTTAAATTTATCACGATGTGCTATTAACTACTGTAAGATGTTATCTAAGAATATATTTGAAATTATATTAAATTGTATTTAAACTTGCAAGCTTCCTTCTTTAAGCTTAATCTTCAATGAAAGGGTCGTTTCTTTCACTTCGCCACACTGATTTTTTTTGTTTCTGCAATACGACAATCTGTGTTTCTTTAGGGACCTGCTGCCGGTGGCAAGACCCTCATCGGACCCGCTGAAGGACCAAACAACGTACAAGGTGCCTCCAACGGCCCCACCAACCTCGTAGGACCCCAACAAGGACCCGCCAGCATCGTAGGACCATCCCAAGGTACGATAGAAATCGCCGTATCTCCCCTACTCACCGGTCTAACGATTATCCAATAAAATAACACTTTACATTTTGAAATATTCAATCACACAGACACGTGTTCGTAAAAACTTTCTTCGAGCATTACACTTTTATAGGATTTTACCATAAAAAGCTCGCGTAATTGGCTGCGACTAATCGAATATGGATCAAAAGAATTCAACAACCACTTTCGATACTGATTTGGCTTTTTACGGTAGAATAATCGGTGTTCGTTTCTCCGTATTCGGTTGTCTCGTTTCAAAACAGGCATATTTTAACTTATAAGTCTTGAACTTGTAGACTTTACGTTTCCGTATCTTCTTCTAACAAACACTATGTAACATTTTCTTTAGTAGCGTTAAAAAATCTAATAGCTTGTAAATAAGAAGCACTAGATGAACATTCTCGGGAAACTATAATATCATTAATATGGTTAATTCCATAATTGAAATGAAAATTAACTATCTGAACTTGATACTAAAATATTATAATCTTCAACGTTTCCAATTCTAAAAGGTCTGAAATATACATAGAATTCACTAAGATGGAATTAGCCATGTTTAATACAACAATAAGCATGCTATAAGCTATTCATACTTTTCTTTTTTTCAATATATATGGTAAATTTCATCACCGAAATTGCATTTCTGTCCTGAAAGATAATATAAGCAACTGAATTAGATGTTTACATGGTTCTTATTAATTCTTCAATTATTCTAGTCTTTACTTTATCCAATTAATAGACACTGGTCTGGTAATGCATAATAATTCATATTACTCATAGACGATAAAGCAAACTACAGCAAATCAAACTACTGCTTCGACCCTACTAAAATGAAATTATCCATATATAATACTATACTAAGCATGTTACTAGCTATTGATTAAGCCTCTCTGGAAACACTGAATACGTGACTTGTATATAATCTGTGGATTATGAGCTATCTTAGCTATATCTTAGCTATAGAATGGTAGGTACACACGACTTGATGCCTTTGTAACGAATTTATTTGATTGTTTCCTCCAAAGGAACCGCTAGCGTAATTGGACCCACCAACGGAGGTGCTCATCTCGTTGGAGCTGCCCAAGCCCCCATCACTTATTCTGAAGGTGTCGCCGCCCAAACTGGACTCGCTGGAGGCGCCGGTGGATTCGGAGGTGGTTTTGGAGGTAGTTCTCCACCTTCTGGATTTATCACTTGAGGGATTTAGCACTTGTAACCGAGAATTCACGAAATAAGTCCATATTTTATAAATATCGATTTATTTGATACGATATCTTCCAAATTATACATGTTCAGTATTAGAATTCGCGTCAAACTCTTCTGAAATCTGGCAAATACTCATCTTGACTACCCTCAGTTATAAATCTTATATTAATCTTTCTTAATTTCATTGAAAACCAACAACCTTCTTTAGGTGGATTCGGAGGTGGACACGGAGGTGCCGGTGGTGGATACGGAGGTGGATACGGAGGTAAAAATACTAGGTTAGTTCGAGAGTTTTTCTTTTTTTATTGGTGTGGGAGACGACAACACTGAACAGTACACCTCAAAAACCAAGTTGTTGTGCTCGACTCAAAATCAACACGTATCTCGTCAAAACTGTCAAATCAATCAATCACACCACACCAACTCAAAACATCTCGGTCGAACATGTAGTATATACACCGAAACCAAACGAATACAAACACAAGCTTTAAAACGGAACAAGGGTGTGAATATGTGTTTGTTTCAGATTCAAAAGGAGGATCAGCAGGTTCCATAACCCACGACGGCGGAGTTCTTAGAGGACCAAAACCGTACCAGTAGTAATCAAAGGTTCTTCCGGTAAAATCGTAGCTGATGGCCTTTATGGACTCCCCGATGACGGTCATGGATATTATTAAATTAAACCGACCATAGGCAAAAACCAATCTTTCAGTATTACGACTTCTTACTCTTTAATTATTTTGTTAAATCTTTCTTATTGTGTAAACTTATTACCTAAGACCATCACGATTTTCATTTTCATTCTTCATTTCGCTCTCGCTGGATACCGGCACCGTTTTGTAGGCCCTAACCGTCTCAGTTTAGGGCAGTTCAAAACGGGCACGTCCTCGAGAGCAGGTCATTAAGTTTACTGTGATTTCTCATGTACGAGCTTGGTGTTATCTACGTTATTTAATATGTATAGTTTTTTTATGTTTTTATATACTGTACAAATGTATATGCGTTAATAAATGATTCTTTTTAAAAAAGACTTTCGACTTTTCTTTATCTAAAATCCATTTGTTATCCATTAGAAATATAAGTGTTGAGTGTATTCATGTGTATAGAAATATAACAAGGTATTAGAAATATATTAACAACTAAATAGTTACCTATAACTACTTCGATCTGCAATGCATTGATGAATCAATCTATTCAAGCACAATTTGGTCTAAGAATCAAATTTCATCTTTTTATTTCTATATTATTTATATCTAACAATATAAAGTGCAACTTAATACTAATGTAAGTCCAACAAAATATCTGGATATTTCACTTTAACTGAAACAAAAAATTCTTAAACTTATTTTTTCTAAAGAATTTTAAACGTTAGAAATCAATAGAAAGCAGCTTTTTATTGGTTCTTTACTTGTGAACAACTTTTCTTCAACAGAAATTCTTAACATTTCAAACAAAAATTTTTTTATTAGGATTAGTCTTCTGCTGGACTCTCGAATCTAACAGTTCAATTTTACAACAATTTAGAATTATTTCTTAATTTATTTTAATATTCAAGTAAAGACACTGCTACAAACGTTAAAAATAATTGTAATTGTTGTTGGTCTAATTTTTTATAAAACTTTGTAGAGAATATTGTTAATTTTTAATAATATATTATTTTATATATTAAAAATCCAGAAAAATCGTTATCATTCGGAATTTGTGTAATCTTTGTGAGAATATCTATGTGGTTTAATATTCAACAGGAAAAAAGGAATACTATTATTATAACACACCAAATATATTTTTATAAAAGACTATTCTAATATTCAGTCTTTATAGTTTGTCTAGTCCTATTAGTGTTAGGCTAGAAAATATTATAAGTCTGAATATTTCTCTGTTAAAAATAGGGTATTATAAACCATAAGAGACTACAAATATAAGAAATAATGAAAGATTTGTTATGCTATGTGCAACTTAACATAGGTAAGGAATAAAAACCAGATTTTTTTGCTATTTCTATGTAAGTATCGATCACGTCTTTGAAACTACTGGTTACGATTGCAGAAAATAAACATTTTAGACACACTGTATTTGTATAGCGAACGAGGAAATGTGCTGAGCGTTTATTGGAAAATGGAAAGTTATAGCGTTATTGGATTAGAAAGGGTAACGTACCATTTTTCTGTCGTCTCTCAGTGGTACTTTGATCGAATACGAAGCGATTCCGTTTTATTACATTGCATTAGCATGGAACTAAGAACCGATAAAATATTGAAAAATTGTTTAAAAAACCTTAAGGAACTTTATAGAACTATAATTTTATAAAACTATAAATTATTTAACTTTTTAACAGTTATTTTTTGCAAAAAAAACTCATAGGCGTGTTTCTGGAGCCGAAAGACCCTATAAATAAAATAAAAATGTTTTCACTTATTTCTGGGACACTCTGTATTATTTGGCTGTGGCAAAATGTAATTTTTAGATTGCTGTCGTTTTTAAAATTTCGTTTGTAGATAAAACCGTATGATCTAAAAAACGGTGTCTAGTTGGCTTGGAAATGACGATCGATGACGTCTGCTGGATCTGTGTCTATGAAAGGAATGCGGACAAAAAACATGTAAATAAACAACAATATATTTTATACGTCAACTTGACGAGTACGTCACCGCAAATCGCTCCGCCCACTCATTTTATTGGCTACTTGCAAATTTGTCGAATTTTTATTGATGGGACGCGCCATCTAATTTTTTACGAAAAACATGAAGAGAATATCGTTTCCCCTCTCACGGATACCCCGTACCTACAGAACGGACAGACGTATATTAAATGATACAGAACTCATTTCATAGCCATCGCTGACGCTCAAACGTTCTCTGATGTTCAAATTAATTAATTAAAGGATATACGTATTTTAAAACTAATAGTAATCGCAAAACATTTTCCGATGCACGTCATCAATCATATCGACATTGACACTAAAGTCTATAAACCTGACTAAATGAAGTTTAGCAAAAATGTTTAAATTTGTTTAGTTTAAACCGAATTTTATTATAGCTATGTTGGTCACATTGCGCCGTGTTCAGCAATGTTGTCCTTTATTATTTGACAATTATCCTAGTGTCCGTCATTATTTTGAATAATATCGTGTTGTTGAATATATGTGAGTTGTTCTCGTTTTTTTGCTTATTTTCATAGTCTTTTTTTAAAAAATGCACTTTTAAGCACAAACAGTTCTTTTAAGAACTAAATTTTCGAGTTTTTGTATTGAATTTCCTCAAATTGTGTGTTGAAAATATGCCGAATCATTTAAACAGTCGAAGCAAAGAGCTTGAAGCTTCCCTGTTTTTTGAAAACTATTTTGAACGAGAACGTGACAATAAAGGTTCTTTATTACCCTTGGCTGCAGTCAGAAAAGTAAGTTTGATTGATAAGCACATTATACCACTTTCAAAGTTAGTTTATAAGTATTAAATTCTGTGATTATTAGTTTGTGCATTAATAGGACCCTCGACCCTTGTTATTACCACTTATGGGATTGTAAGATGCACATCAATAAATAAATAACCCATAATAACTCTTATAATAAGCTTCATAATGGACTAGTTTTTGCCAATGTGTAATAAGTAAAATAAGCTATAAAACAAATAAATGAATTAATCTCTAAAATATTAGTTATTAAATTAAAAATAAAAGGTAAAACTCAATAATACAAAAAAATGATATAATAAATATGTTGCTTGTCAATTTTAAATTAAGATTCATCTCAGAAATCCCTCACAATCTGGCAGCGCTGTCGCCATCGCTTGTCATTCAAAGTTGAACACGTGTATCGGAAATTGTTTTGCGATTACCATACTTAAAAATATATATTTTAAAAAGAAAACAAGATTTGTAGTTCTGATTTTTTTTATTTATAATAACATCACAACCAAATTAAATCATCCCCCTCTTCCTCATTTCAATTTTTCCTCGTGGACCCTACCAAACTCTAGCTCCAACAATTCCAACTCCAAGACCACCTCCAAGTCCACCTCCGAGTCCTAGACCGATAACTCCTGGAACTACAGAAGCTCGAACGACGCCTTTAAAGTAATAAAAAATTATTAGATATTTTGAACTATAAATTATGACTAAGAATATATGTAAATTTTAATCATATAGTTCTTTTTTTTACAGTGCTATATTCTATACAGAGAGTAGACTACCTCTCGCATGTACAGGGTGGCGCCTCTCATACGCCGCGAAAGCTCCAAGGAGAACGGTAGTTTATATCGAAATGAAATTTTGGCAGCATATATAGGTTAACTGAAAGCATTTTATTAAAATATATAGAATTATACAGGGTCTCCCCAAAAGAAGTTACACATCAAAGTTGTGTTTTTTCTAATGGAACACTATTTATATTAATTGATTTTCGGATTCTAGGAGAAAAATAAAGGTGGAGTTTTATTAAAGGAGCATATACCTAAAATCTAAGAATTTTGATATAATTTACATTTTGTGAAAATGAAGAGTAAATTTTAAATTCCGATAACAGCTACGTAAATTTTAGTTGACCTTGTACAGACCGATATTTAATTACAGTAACCATTGTATATTAAACCAAATAGAAATTTGACCCGAAAAGGTGACAGGGTGAGACAAAATCAATATGGAACATAAGTCACATTTAAAAGCTAGTTACTCCTTTATTTTAAACGGAACACTCAGTATATTTTTCCAGTGTTCAATGGGAAATTTATATATCTTCAAAATATTATTAAAGTTGCCTACCCCTCAGACAAAGATTTTCCCAGATATTTTAATTTTTATGATTTTGCGTCAGTAAATCTTTATTATTTGAAATAATCTAGGTGGCTGTGTGATATACCTGATAATTTAACAAAAATTAAAAATTGTAGAGTAAAATACTCAAGGGTAATAAAAAGATACACGGTTACATTTACACACACGTATACGTTTACAACATATTTTAATTATTACAGAACTAAAACTAGATATATAAACTATGCGACAAATTAAGCATAGAAGCATAAAATTATGCGACAAAAATTAGCTAGATGAAATCGAATGTTCAAAATGCTTCCTTTCCTGTCAACTGCATAAAATGATTGTCTTTTCAAAAGGATCTTTTCATTTTGAAAGGTGGAGTTCTATATCAAAAATCAGCTACAATAATTTCTCATGTTGTCGACACTAATTAGTCGACTTTTGCAAACACTGTCTTTAACATATTCCCTTAAAAAACCAGACTAGATAAAATCAGGAGCATTTAAGTATTCTATTAATTGGTGAATGCACACTGCATTCACCAACTAATAGAATCATATCAATTATTTCTGATGTAGGATAACTTTGCATTTTCAGCAAATTTCTGAGAAATTTTTTTGTTTTAACTGACACAAAATGATAACTAGTTGTTAAAATTGGACTAATTAGACAGCTATGTTGAAGTAACTTCAGACATCTCACAACCACATAGATTTTATCAAATAATAAAGATCTACTCATTAAACTTGATTAAATCATGTAAATGAAAATATCTAGGAAAGTCTTTATTTGAGGGGTAGGCAACCTTAATAGTATTTTGAAGAGACATAAATTCTCCATTGAATATCGGAATAATATACTGGGTGTTCCATTTAAAATAAGAGAGTAACATGCTTTTAAATGTGACCAATATTCAATATTAATTTTGTCTCATCCTGTATAACTTTTTGGATCAAGTTTTAATTTGATTTAAAGTACAATAGTTAATTTAACTACATATTAGGCTCTACCGGGTAAATTTCAATTTAGGGTGCTTTTATTAGTAATTTTAAAATTGTTCTTTATTTCTAGAAAATGTTAAATATGTCAAAAACATTACATTTTAGTCATATACTTCTCTTATAAAACTCACCAATTTTTCTCCCAGAATCCGAAAATAAATTAATATATAGGGTGTTCCATTACAAAATACACAATTTTGATATGCAACTTTCTTTGGGGACACCCTGTAGAACTCTCTATATTTTTATAAAGTGCTCTGAATTACCTAACCTACATATGCTCACAAAATTTCATTTCAATAGAAACTGTCGTTCTCTTTGGAGGCTCCGCGGCGTATGAGAGGCGCCACCCTGTACTTGTGATATGTGTCATCAATGTTTCACAAGTACACGGGATCTACAGTTTATCGCCGAATCTGAATGGCACTATTTGAGAAGCTGTACAATGTAAATGTAGTCAAGGTGGTTTGCCATTACCTTCCTTGAGGTGGCAGTTAAATGCACTGTAATAATATAGATTTTTCTCTTGTAGTTATAACGTCGTACAGGTTATATTGCGAACATTTCAACGGCATTTTCACAAAATACTCACCGCCTGGTAGGGGTGGGGCAGCAATGGCGCCAGCTTGCCCCGCAGCAGCAATGCGACTACCATCAGGTCCCCAAAGCTCTCCTTCGGCAGCAGGTCCCTGGATCAGGGCACCTGGAGTTCCGGGTCCAACCAAAGCTGCGGATCTTCCCCAGAGGGCTTGGGTGGAAGCAGCAGCGCATACAACGAGAAGAGCAACAATCTAGAATAAGAATTTCTCTATTTAGAACCAGCTTCATTGGTTGAAAGTTGAAAGAAGCTACAAATGCACTTAATTTATTTTTTTTTAAATATATAAATATATAATATATTTAAAACCTTTTTAGATTATACATGATAATTAGAAACAGAAAACACATATTGATTTGAACATAATGTATACAAGCTCACAGAAAATTTAAGGGTGTATTCCGTTGCTTACCTTGGTTATGGTTTTATGTTCCGTTTTTATCTGTTTCCTGAAAGTTTTCTTATTACGGAACACGGTTCCTGTAAAATTCGGCTATAACTGTCACCAAACTAACCAGCGCGAGAAGGCTGGTTTTTCTGTTTTTGTTTGTCAATGTCATTTATGTGACAGAAATCAAGCAAATATAATAAGTACGAATAAAATTCTCATTTAATTTCTAATATTTGTAATAATTTTGTATTTACATCCAAAAGCAATGGAGGTAGGCAGTAAAGATAAATAAATTTCATTAACTAAATAGAATTACTTTTTAGGACTATTTAAACTTATCATGCCGCCATTGTTTCTTAAAGTCGGGAACATTTAAAGAAAACATGAAAAACAAGACAACAAATAATCGTGAATGTTTTGTAAGCTATAAAAATATAAATATTGATTAGATTTGTTTATTTATCATTATCTGTTTTAATATTGGACCTGCAAATTTTCACTTGAGCTCTCTAACGAGTTTAACAGTTTATTAATAAAGTATTTTTCAATATTAAACTCCATTGAAAAGAAGAAGCAAACATAAAAGCAGAGAATATACATGTACATGTACATTAAAAATGCATAAAAGATAAATTTTATAATAGAGGTATTGAAATTTAGAAAACGTCAACATTTGACGTTTCCAATATTTTACCAAACCGATGTTTTTCAGGAACCGCTCTTTACCGTAGTTTACCGGTCTGGTTCGCCTGGTTTTGCAACGGAATACAGCCTAAGTCTTTTTTTGATTTAAATCATTTTAATGACTTAAGTCGTTTGATTATAAGTCATTTTTCGAAAGCTGACTTAAGACTTAAAATTTAAGTTTTTTTCAAAATGTCTTGTGTTCTAAATCTTCTTAAAATAGAAAAAGAAAGGATTTAAATTTTTTTAGAAAAGACTTAAGTCATTAAAAAGGCTTTAATATAAAAATATAAATTATTTTATAAAAAGTAACTTTATAATGCTTACCATGGAGTTCATTTTGGTAGAAGGTGGTTTTTAGGGTACTGTTAAGAATGGCAGAGTGTTTATTATCCTAACAAACTTAGGTGGAGACTGATACAAATTCTCAGTAACTACCCCAGTTATATATAGTGATTTTATCACAGATAATGTCCATTGTATGAAGCCTTAACCTTCAGGTTGTTGTTTTCTTCTTACTTAATTATACCACATGTTACACTATCAGGACTGTTTTTGTTTAATATTTACTCCCTAGCAACTATTAGCAACTGCATTTTAAGTTGTTTACTTTAACGTGTTTTTTATTAATTATTTTTTAGATCATTTTTATCGTTTCCGTTATGCATGTAGTTTAGTTGAAACGATTAGCTGCTATAGATTAATTTATTAAATTAATAAATTATGTATTGTCAAAAAATATAGATAAAATGATCAAAGAAGGCTCATCAGTGAACATGGGACCTATGACCAGAACCCTTCTGCTTCTTGGGAGCTCTAGGTTTGTTTAATAAAAATTGATTGATTATTTATATATTTGATTATTAATCTGTATATGTCTATTTATTTGTATGTTAAGTAAATTTATGTCATAATAATAATTGAAACTAAAATAAGTTTATTTATACAGGGTGTCCCAGAAATAAGTGCAAGTATTTTAACTGGTAGTAGAGTTCAACCCCAGAAACACGCCAATGAGGTTTTTTTCGCGATTTTTTTTTAAATTCGGAATTTTTTGAAAATTTTTTTGGAAATTTTTTATTTCGAAAAATTTTTATTTTTGGTTTTTATTTAAAAAAAAATAATTTCTTGATAATATGGCAACATAGGTAGTAGATTATATTTACAAGAAAGAAAATCCAAAAAATATCCAGTGGTACTCAAAATTTTAGCAAAAATAATTTTTTTTGGAAATTTTTAAAGCAAAATAACTCCGTTATTTTGGACTTATTTGACTTAAAGACGATAAAGAGAAAATATATTTCTTTTATCGAGATCGACTACTCCTTAAAATGCTTGCACTTATTTCTGGGACACCCTGTATGTATAGAGGTAAGACTTAAATAAGTGCAAATATTTTTAGGTGTAGTATATTTCGACCACCGAAACAATGACGTCTTCTTTTCGCGGAAAACAAATTAAAATTTGGAATTTTTTAATTTTTTTTAAATTTTTGGTTAAAAACATAAGATCTTTATAATATGGCAAGATCGTAGTAGATTAAATTTACAAGAAAGAGAACCCAGAAAAAAATCAAATGGTTCTCAAATTTTAAGGAAAAAAAATATTTTTGGAAATTATGAGTAAAATATCTCGGTTATTTTGGACTTATTTGAAAAACGGTAAAGAGAAAATATGTTTCTCATATCGATATCTATCAGCTCTAAAAATATTTGCAATTATTTAAGACTCACACTGTATTTATTCATTTATTATTTAACTACATATACAGGGTCCGGCAATAGTGCGTTGGGGGATCTGGGGATCTGTAGCTCCTAGAATAAAAAACTTGAGAATTTTGTTTAAGTACAAACCTAAACTATGTACCAGGATGTATTTCAGGAAAATATTTTAACTTCTATAGGGTGGCTCAAAAAAGTGTGTTTGGACCTGGATGATTTTTTTTAAATGGAACACCCTGTATATTATTGCATTTTTGGCTTCCTTTCAGATCACTTTACATAACCCTAAGATATGAATAAATACATTTCGATAGTTTCAGAGATATTAAAAAATAAATCAAAAATATATATTTTTCAGCTCTTCTTAAAAAAATTATTAAAAATACAAGAACTGTTCTGAAATCAAAACTATATTAGGTATTTACTTTAGATGGTCTGTTCTTATTTTGCTAGATCATACAGGATGTTTACTATTCTACGCCAAACTTTCTAAAATATAAAATATTTTTTCTTTGTTTTTTTAAATGGAACACCCTGTATATTATTTTTTTATTAGATGGAGAGTAAAAAATGAACATTTTTTGTATTTAAAGTATTTCAAAATTTTTAATGGTTTCGCAGATACACGCAGTATTATTTCATATGGCGCTTTCAATGGTAAAATACATTCAATGGAGAAAAAATCATTAGATGGCTTTGGTAAAAATTTACTGTGGAAAATGCCATACAAAATATAAAACCGCAAATATCTGCGAAACTGTTAAAAATTTTGAAATACTCTAAATACAAAAAATGTTCATTTTTTAATTCTCCGTCTATTGAGAAAATAATATACAGGGTGTTCCATTTAAAAAAACCAAGAAAAATTATTTTATATTTTAGTAAGTTTGGCGTAGAATTTTGAACATCCTGTATAATTTACGATTTTCATATTTATAGCAAAGTAAGTATGGACCATCTAAAGTAAATACCTAATATAGTTTTGATTTCAGAACGTAAAATATATATTTTTGATTTATTTTTTAATATCTCTGAAACTATTAAAATATGTTTATTCATATCTTAGGATTATGTAAAGTGATCCGAAAGGAAGCCAAAAATGCAATAATATAGAGGGTGTTCCATTAAAAAAAAATCATCAAGGTCCACTCGCACTTTTTTGAGCCACCCTATAGAAGTTAAAATATTTTCCTTAAATACATCCTGGTACATAGTTTAGGTTTGCACTTAAACAAAATTCTCAATTTTTTTTATTCTAGGCGCTACAGATGCCCGACGCACTATTGCCGGACCCTGTATATTATATTATTTCAACAAAAAAAAAATCTAAATTTATCTGCAAATATAATTATAAAAAATTTTATGCTGTTAGAGTGAACAGTTAATTTATTTTTTATACATTGTACCCAGTAAGTTTTTAAAGCAAATCATTTACAATTTCTTCATATTTTCTTGACAAATTGATGAATTGAATTATTAAATTGTTTTTTTCTATTTATTTTATATTGATTTATACACAAACTCTATTGATGGATACATACTTGTGTATTACAATTATGTTTTCCTAGTTTTATTTTATTTTTGATTATATTTAAAGCAATTATATATATATATATATATATATATATATATATATATATATATATATATATATATATATATATATATATATATATATATATATATATATATATATATATATATATATATATATATATATATATATATATATATATATATATATATATATATATATATTATATCGGATTGTTTAATTTGCTTAATATGTGCGCGGTTTATTTTTTATTTAGATTTAAAACTAAAAATCTAAATTACGCAATTATTATTATGTGATTGTGGCGTTGTATGTTACACTTTAATTGGTTTATGATTTTATCAGAAAGTACCAGTTAGTTTCTGCCTGAATGGAATATTTTAAATTCAAATCCCAAAATAAATTAAACTTCTCCATTTTGTCAAGATAAATAAATATAGAAAAAATTAAAATCTATATTTTTAATAATAATTTAATGAATTCATTTTTCTTGTAATCAGCTAGTTTTAGCATAATATTTACTCGTAAATTGAATATTAAATTTCTTGGTATTTGTATTGTTTTTGTGTTATACAGGGTTAGTCTTAAATAAATGCAAATATTTTCAGGGCTGGTGGTAGATAGATCTCGATAAAAGAAATATATTTTCTCTGCCATTTTTGAAATAAATCCAAAATAACCGAGTTATTTTACTTTAAAAAAATTTTTGCAAAAATTTTGAGAACAACTGGATCTTTTCTGGATTTTCTTTCTTGTAAATTTAATGTACTACCTATGTTGCCATATTATCAAGAAATTATGCTTTTTAACTAAAAACATTTCCAATATTTTTTTTCAAAAAAATTGAAAAATTTTATCAATTTATATTTTATGATTATCCCTTAAATCACAAACAACTTAAAATGTAAAAAATAAATATTTTTTACATTATTATTATCTGTTTCCGGCTATTTCATGGGTAAATTAAGCATATTTTGTGTGTTTCGCGTCAAAAGGCGGTTTTTTTTCTCTATTGATTTTGTGATTTTTTTTAGTTATATCCTTTTATAAATATGTCCATATAGTGTTTTTTACATAAAGCAGATTTTTAAAAGCTATGTTTATAGCAATAATCTCTTTATTTAGAGAACGACTGACATTTATCAATTAGAATATTAGTCTAAATATTCCAAATAAATTTAAAAATAAGTAGAATTAAAATAAAGACTAGCGACATAGCTTTAAACAAATCAGAACCTACCTTATTATTTACAATTTTGAGAAAATATTCATTTCCTATTCAACATCTGTAGTAAAATAATGAATATTATTGCATTATGCATATCAAATAATAAAACCCAGTTAGAATTTGTTTTGATTAAAGAATTAACAATACAATAGACAGTATAGGCATTATTAAAACAGTAAATTACAAAAGAAATTGATACCTTTTTGTTTTTATTTAACTATTAAAAAGCTATTATACTTATGTTTAAGTTGTCTATAAGAATACTTGTTATACTTTTATAATGATGCTGGAAATCGTTACTGTCTTCTTCAAGAGCGAATATTTTTAATAAAAATAAAGAAGATTAACAAAAAAACAAACTATCGAATAAAGATGTATAGTAGTATCATATTCCACAGGGTGTTTCAAACTTTCAACAAAAATTAAGATTTTGTTTCCCTCGTACAATTAGCGCAATAATGGAAACTACAAATACTAAGGCTACAAATTGCTTCAAAAATCATCAAAATTGGCCCATTAGAACAAAACATAGGTATAAACTTTAAATTACATCAAACTTTTAGGGTATTTTGTATGTTTTTCGTGTCCGTGATATGCATTGATTAGCATTTTTATGATAGGTATTATAATATGCTTAATAACATATTATAATACCTATCATACATAATACCTATAATACCTATCATACACAAATGATTTTGTTATGAAAAAACTGCTACTTATTTAAGGGCTTCTACTAATACGTAATAATATAATGTTACACTTATTGTTAATATTATTTTTAACAATAAAGAAAAAAGAGATAAACAATAAAAATGTTTCTAAATAAAATCAATTTGAGATTCTCTGGAGAGTTAGATGTTTTATGATTAGGTGGAGCAGGGCGTTGCCATTTCTGTATTTTTTGAAAATCCCACCTAACAGCATATATCCTGCTACACATAAATAAAATTCCAACTGCAAAAAAGGG